CTTAATCAAGTACGCTATGCCAAATTTCGTACAAATCGATGGATATATAGGGACTTTGGTACACCATTTACCTGAAATCGGACGAAAATATATATGGAAGCTATATCTAAATCTGAACCGATTTTCACGCACACGTTATTCTAGACTTAATTCAATACGCTATGCCAAAATTCGTATAAATCAAATGATTTTCAGGGACTTTGGTGCACCATTTATCTAAAATCGCGCGAAATTATATATGGGAGCTATATCTAAATCTAAACCGATTTTCACGAAACTTGGCACACATCATTCTAGACCTAATTCAGTAGGCTGTATATTGCGTGCAAATCGAAAGATATTTAGGGACTTTGGTACCTCATTTATCTTAAATCGGACGAAAATATATATGGGAGCTATATCTAAATCTAGACCGATTTTTCCCAATTTTAATAGGGTTCGTCCTTGGGCCAAATAAGTGACCTATGCCAAATTTCATCCAATTCGGGTCATAAAAATTGTTTACAATTTAACATGGACAGACGGACGGACATGCATAAATCGACTGAGAAAGTGATTCTATACATATTCTCAAAAGGAACCATGGGTCTATCTCGATTATTTTTGCCTGTTACAAACATATGCTCAAAGACATAATACCCTGTACCACAGTGTGGTGAAGGGTATAAAAAAAACAACAGCCGGTTGAAACTCGTGGAAATTTGAAGCCAAAGTAAGGGGGATGGTGTTTCCTTAAATAAAATCTGAAATTCGAATGGAAAAGAGTAGTTACCATAACTGAACCCAAAGGTTCAAATTGAACGTTGAATTTTGCACATACATACATACTTCTACGATGTTTTTAAAATTGTGATATTTTGTAGTTTTTCAATAAAACTTAAATTTTAATAGGAAGGGGTAGTTACCATAAGAGGACCCAATGGGCCCAATTATTACTACTCGTAGGATGTTTGCAATTGGAACATGGGATACACCGGTTCACTTTTTAGGGTAGCTCTCATATAACGGAAGCTGCCAATATTCGGTATTTTTTTCTACCAAAATGACCGTAAGTTGGTATATTGCGTTATCATTGGTTTGTAAATCTTCCAACTAAAAAGTATCAGCATTGGTTTAACAGGGTAGCCCCCATTTAACACTACAGCTACAAATTTCTCCATATAATGGTATCCCCAATATTCGGTATTTTGGGGGTTTTGGGCAAGTTTTTAAAATAATTGGCTTTAATTTGAGTTAGCAGGATCGCATAGGGTGACAAATCTTCTTACAAAAAAATTATCAATGTCGGTTCAGGTTTTCGTATAGATATCATAGAACTGGATTACGATGGCTTTAAACGTATTTTGTACCGATGTGGGTGTAATTTGATATAGGCCGATGTTTTGACGTAGTCCCCATGTGAGGCTAGCACGCCATTGTCAGTAGTTTGAAGGCTTTAATCACATTTCTTCATATAAACATCTTTGCCGAAAATTGTCTTTATCGAAGTTTTCATATTGGTGTCCAACCTAAAATACACGTCCCATTTTCATTATTATTAAGGTTTTAGCCCAATTTTCTAATCGAAGTGGCTAGAATTTGACATATCGGATTTCTCGTGGCTAAAATAATTTCTACCCAGAATTCATTCAATACCGGTTGATTTGTATACCCTACACCAGCAACGTACACAGGATTTAATTTCGGCCCCCGGGCCGCCCCCTCCCTACGTACCTGCCCTACACAACAATTTTGTGTGGGTATTACAACTTTGTGTGGCCCTGAGGGTTTGTAACGCCGCGAAATATTACTCCTAGTATACCGATTTTCATATATCGACTACCAGAGGCGATCTAGACATGCGTGTCCCGTACATCTGTCCTTCGGTTCATTGTTGTTTATAAACACTGTGGCCTGTTATGAACCAAACGTCACGAAATTTAGCGAATAGAACGGATTCCGGCCAAAGAGGACCTATACCCTTTTTGTGAACCCTTTTGGTAATGATCGATTAATATTTAGGGATAGAAATGTATCAAAAACTACACGCTACAATTATGACACGAATATCACAAAAGTTTACACTAGGAAAGAAATCTGTCCGAAGAATAAACATGGCGGTTTTGAGGAAGATAGGTCAATATTTAGTGGGTCAAATGGACTTTTGTGTGAAAAGTGCCAAATAAATCCATTATTTTTATATGAACTATACAACTTTATTTAACATGCTTCGGAATGTCCGATTTGGGGCAAATATGCACCGTTGTTTGGATGATTTATTGCCACGTAACTTCATAATGCCTCTCTCATAGAAGTCCTCCTCTCTATTTGCAAAAAAATCTGGATTTTCACAATAGAATAGAATGATAATCGCTTGGTGTCAGATCCGGACTGTGTGGCGGATGCATTAAAACTTCCCAACCAAGCTCCCGAAGTTTCTGGCGAGTCACTGTTGATGTGTGTGACCTAGCGTTGTCCTGGTGGAACACGACACCTCTCCTGTTGACCGTTTCTGGTCAATTGCTATCTTCAAACGGTCCAGTTCTCATAATAAATAATTCCCTTCCAGTCCCACAAAATTCATAGCAGAACCTTGACCTTCGCTTAAGGTGCTTCACCGCTCTTTGACCACGATCGTTTTCGCATAGGGTTATCGTATGTGATCCATTTCATATTCTCCAGTCACCGTCCCTTTAAGAAATGGATCTATCTCATTCCGTTTGGCCAAGGCTTCGCAGATGGAAATTCGATCCAACCTATTTTTTTCAGTTAATTTGTGTGGCACCCAAGAATCCACCCATGAATCTTTTAGAATCCAGCTTTGTGTAAATGGTTTAAAACAATTTTATGGTCGATTTTTAGCTCCTGAACGATGTTACGACTGCTGACATGCCGGTCAACTTCAATCATTTCCCCGATTTTATCGACATTTTCGACGACCGGCTTAATCGATTTCTTTTTGCTGTAAGTGCTCGGAGGTGAGAGTTATACGTTAATGTTAACAGATGTTAACGTATTCTGATTTTGTTTAGTATTACCAATACCAAACTAGAGGGTGGAAATGTAGCGCTGATGGCTAGGAAATTTTGCATGGCTGGATTTTTGGTCGGGATTTTTAATCTGAACATCACAAATTTTCCATGTCAAATAATTTTTTTTTATTTTATGGAGTAATTTTTTACTCCTTGAAAACATGATTCGAAAAATATACTGCCGAGGTGCTGTTTTGTTTAAATCTTCTCGGTCAAGAGGGTGCGAAATGTTATGAAAATATAGATCCGCAGAAACTTAGAACTCAGTGGTAGGGTATGATATGGTCGGGCCCCTATACTGCTACGCTCACTGGTTTTAAAATAACCCCCATCCCAATTTTCCGTTTAATTTTCCTAATTTGTCTATAATTTGGAACATAATTTTGAACGGAGCATGAACGACCACTACCACATAATGTAATAACATAGTTTACATATATTTTCCGCCCGACCTAAGATATGTTTTTATTAATTTCTCTTTCGAGATGAGCTACATGATCGGAGTTGTAATGAAAAGGAAAGCCAGAGAGATACTACATTCCGGCGTTTCGCCGTTGGTTAAGCGGCTCATCAGGCATATTGGGCAATGTGGCTTACAAATGTCTTTACTTAATAAGTTGTATATTTTTCTTCAATGGTATGCAACTGCATATTGTGCAACCTTAGGAAGATAAGGAGGTGGCTTTGAACGCTAAGGCGCCGGACATCAACAAATGCCATGGGAACCCGGGTTCAAATCCCAGCCGGGCTCAAGCTGAATTTTTGAGTTTGCTGTTTTGTTTAAATCTTCTCGGTCAAGAGGGTGCGAAATGTTATGAAAATATAGATCCGCAGAAACTTAGAACTCAGTGGTAGGGTATGATATGGTCGGGCCCTTATACTGCTACGCTCACTGGTTTTAAAATAACCCCCATCCCAATTTTCCGTTTAATTTTCCTAATTTGTCTATAATTTGGAACATAATTTTGAACGGAGCATGAACGACCACTACCACATAATGTAATAACATAGTTTACATATATTTACCGCCCGACCTAAGATATGTTTTTATTAATTTCTCTTTCGAGATGAGCTACATGATCGGAGTTGTAATGAAAAGGAAAGCCAGAGAGATACTACATTCCGGCGTTTTGCCGTTGGTTAAGCGGCTCATCAGGCATATTGGGCAATGTGGCTTACAAATGTCTTTACTTAATAAGTTGTATATTTTTCTTCAATGGTATGCAACTGCATATTGTGCAACCTTAGGAAGATAAGGAGGTGGCTTTGAACGCTAAGGCGCCGGACATCAACAAATGCCATGGGAACCCGGGTTCAAATCCCAGCCGGGCTCAAGCTGAATTTTTGAGTTTTGTTTTTATGCCTTTTTAGGACGAAGGATCATTCATGTAAATGTTTTTTTATTAATTTCTCTTTCGAGATGAGCTATATGATCGGAGTTGCAATGAAAAGGAAAGCCAGAGAGATACTACATCCCCACCACTATGCGATATTTTACATGCACACCTCAAGGTTGGGGGTTATAAAAAGTTTGGCACGGCGGAACTTACGGCCTTTCGACATGTTTAATAAATAAATGGAATTATATTGAATAACTTGCACGGAGTTGTGTTTAAAACCAGTTCCGATATCGATAAAGCTAATATAGGGTATGAATTTATGCAAATTGCGAACGAAATAAATAACATTCGATTGAGATTAAATTTTTGCACGGCACATTGTTTTGCATTTAGATTATTCATAATTTAGTATAGATTGGCGTGTAACATGTCGGTTGATATATATATATATATACATATATATTAATTACATACTTATCATATCATATCAAGGGTCGTCCGAAGATACTACGCCTTTCCAATCTACAGGGATAATGGAAGAACGTTTGTTAAGCTTAATTGGTGGTTATGCTTGGTTGGTGGTCCGACGATCCCGTCGAACTTTAATTTTTTCTATAATGATTTTATTTATGTTCCCTTTATATTTCAGTTCCTCGATCTCTCTCGCAATCAATTACATGGCATTAATGAAGAACTTGTGTTGCGTATCCAAGCTATTCGCAATGTTCGATTGGATAATAATCCGCTGATATGTGATGAATGTCACATGGGCAAACTAATTGATGTTGTACGACAGGTAAGTTGTTCAAGAAAAAATCATTGTAAAACGTGAAAATTCTATTGTATGTGTGTATAAAATTTCGTAACATTAGATTAAATAAATATTCAATTAAAATAAAATATTTTATAATTAAATATTCATTAAATTATATGTGTAAAGAAATATCAGACGTCTAAATTATTTTGTATTACATTCGAAATTATTAATAATTTGTTTTTGATACTGTCACTTTCACAATTATCTCAATTTCTATAATTTCACAATTATCTCATTATTAAATTTAAAATTTAATATAATTTCATTTATATTTAATATTTAAATTATTTTTCATATTTTTAAATTTGGGGAGATTTTTTTCAATTTTCTTTTTACCACAGAAAAATTAAAATTTTTACGGCATACCACCACCAAAGAATGTGCAATTCATTATGAAAGATTTGTTGTTTCCTTCTTTGCTTTGTGCTAAGTTTTGGTCGAAGCATCTACTACTCCAACTATTTGTCTTGCGAATGTTTGACTTTAAAATCGAATAAAAAAGAAAAGAACTGCAAGAAAATTACGAAACATAAAATTCATATGCAAATGATGTTTCCCGTATTTTGTAAGATCAAAATAAATTTTGTTTTTCAAATAAAAAAATGTATAAAGGAAAATAGTTATTTGTCATAGTAGTTTTTCCTGTAGTCTCGTACTACAATTGTTGCAAGCTATCAGTTGTTGGTGCTTCGTGCAGGGAAGTTATCTATTATCAGTTTTTTTTTTTGTTCTCCCCCTCATATTTCTCAACAGTTCATGGGAGTTTCAGTGCATTTGTTTCCTTTACAGAAATATTCTTTAGTTTAGTTGGGTAATAGTTTTTTCTCCTCCCTTTATTTTTTGTTATGATTTACAATTTGTAATATTTTATTGCTATATTACGGCGTGTATGTGTGTTCCTTTTACAATTTTTCATAAACATTTTTGTTGTATTTATATTTTATTTCGTTTCCTTTCTTAACAGTTACAATGGAAATGGGAAACATATCCGATTTGTTTTCTACCAAAAACTTTACGGGGTGCCGAAATAACAGACTTGGATGCAAATGGACTGGATTCCTGTTTGGAATATATTACCGATGAGGAACAGAATGCTGCAAGTACATCGCACAATTTTCTTGAAGCAGGTAAGTGCAAGTGGTAAAAATATGTTTAATTTTTCAACAAGGTCCAATTTATGCGTAATTTTTTCAAGGACCATCTGAGGCGTGGATTTATTAAAGACTCATTTTTAAAGGACCATCCCAGGCGTGGATTTATTAAATAATCATTTTTCAAGGACCGAATTAGGCGTGGATGTATTAAAGAAGAAATTTTTGCAATTTTTTTTTTTTAAAGAAGAAATTTTTGCAAGGACCAATACAAGGCGTGGATTTATTAAAGAAGAAATTTTTGCAATTTTTTTTTTTAAAGAAGAAATTTTTGCAAGGACCAATACAAGGCGTGGATTTATTAAAGAATATTTTTTCAAGGACCAATACAAGGCGTGGATTTATTAAAGAATATTTTTTCAAGGACCAATACAAGGCGTGGATTTATTAAAGAAGAAATTTTTGCAAGGACCAATACAAGGTGTGGATTTATTAAAGAATCATTTTTCCAGGACCAATACAACGGGTGGATTTATTAAAGAAAAAAATTTTGCAAGGACCAATACAAGGCATGGATTTATTTAAGGAAACAATTTTTGCAAGGACCAATACAAGGTGTGGATTTATTAAAGAAGAAATTTTTGTAAGGACCAATACAAGGCGTGGATTTATTAAAGAAGAAATTTTTGCAAGGACCAATACAAGGCGTGGATTAATTAAAGAAGGAATTTTTGCAAGGACCAATACAAGGCGTGGATTTATTAAAGAAGACATTTTTGCAAGGACCAATGCAACGCGTGGATTTATTAAAGAATCATTTTTGAAGGACCAATGGAAGGAGTGGATTTATTAAATAATCATTTTTCAAGAACCGAATTAGGCGTGGATTTATTAAAGAATATTTTTTCAAGGACCATCCCAGGCGTGGATTCATTAAAGAATCCCAAGGCGTGGATTCATTAAAGAAGATTTTTGCAAGGGCTACCCAAGGCGTGGATTCATTAAAGAATCATTTTTCAAGGACCATCCCAGGCGTGGATTTATTAAAGAATCATTTTTCAAGGACCATCCAAGGCGTGGATTTATTAAAGAATCATTTTTCAAGGACCATCCCAGGCGTGGATTTATTAAAGAATAATTTTTCAAGGACCATCCAAGGCGTGGATTTATTAAAGAATAATTTTTCAAGGACCATCCAAGGCGTGGATTTATTAAAGAATAATTTTTCAAGGACCATCCAAGGCGTGGATTTATTAAAGAATAATTTTTCAAGGACCATCGTGGATTGAAATTAAAAAATCATTTTTGACGTCTTATCGAATAGTATATCTTATTAAAAAATTGTAAATATAGGATCTATTTCATTTTTCAAGGACCATCTAAGGCGTGGTACCCCCAATTATTAAAGAAGAAATTTTTGCAAATTCGCTGAAATTACAAGGTACATTGGTTTTATTAAAGAAGAAATCTTTGCAAGGACCAATACAAGGCGTGGATTTATTAAAGAAAAACGTTTTGCAAGGACCAATACAAGGTGTGGATTTATTAAAGAAGCATTTTTCACCAAGAATTGGCTATAATTTAGGGCGTGGATTTATTGGGTAAAGAAACATTTTCTCCACAAAAAATTATAAATATAGGTAAATTTTTTCTAAAGAAACATTTTTCAAGGACCCCCAATTTTCGACATTTGGATTTATTAAAGAATCGTTTTTTCAAGGACCATCGCTGAAATTTGGTATTTTAAAGAATAATTTTCAAATCCCCCCACCAAAAATAAGGCGTGGAATATTAAAGAATCATTTTTGAAGGACCATCGTGATCGCATTTTTCGACCGAATTCGCTGAAATTCGGTACTTTGAGTTCTATTTAGACTATTTAGTCATCTGTTGTAAGCATTCGGCCTTCTTAAGATATTGTGATAAAAAAAAAACTCAAACATGGCTATAATGAAATATATCGGCAGATATTTAGGCATCTCTTCAATAAAGTGATACCTGATAGAATTGAGATAAAAAATTAAAATATTGGGTTCAAAATTGGCATATACCGGTCATTAATTAGGCATAGCCCTCATATAATGATATCCCGAATTATTCACTATTTCCTACATTATGTAACCAATATTGGTCCCCCTTTAGGCATACCCTCATATAACTTCGTACTCTAAATTGAAGTAGTTTGAAGATTTTATACTCTACCATGCATTATCAGTATCAGTCCACTTTTTGGATATTACAGATTTTAGGAAAAATCTCCATTAAAAATTGCTGAAGTTTGTATTTGGTGTACATAATGGGTTACATAAATCGGTTTGTAGAATTATCGGTATATGCCCACTTTTATGTTATGTTCCTATATTTTCATTTCTAGTACCTGTCAATATATCTATGGTGGAGGGTATCCAAAGTTCGGCCAGGCCGAAATTGACGCTTTTTTACTTGTTTTTTGGTTATTAAAATTTGATTCCGTTACTAATATTTTCTTCCCTATCTATTTTTTTATTTTATTACAGGTGGTCTCAACACTCTTGCCATTCTGGGTGGTGTTATATTTGTTCTAATTGCCATCATAATAATCTCAGTGGCAATCTGTTTTTCGAGAAATCGTGCACGGTACTATACACGAGAGGATCATCTTAATGGAAGTAAGTTTCAAAACTTGACTAATAAAAACAAACAAATAAGCATGGAATGCAATACAAAGAAAACCAAAAAAAAATCAAAAAATACTTTGCAGCAAAAACTGCGAAATGAAAGGAAAACAAAGTTTGATTTAGAGAAAAGTTTTTAATTCAACTATTGTTTATTGGCTGGAACTGCTAATAAAAATTCTAAAAAGGTTGTGCACAGAAGGAATGATGGAAAATTTGATTTAAAATAAATCAAATGCAAGAATGGAACAAAAAGCGGCTATATCCAACACATTGCCATTGTGTCGTGCCTAAAAGCTTTAAGGCAGATTTTTTTCATTTCTTTCTTCTCTAAATTGCAGTACAAAATTAAATTTGGCAATAATACAAATATTGTTGTTATGCGATTTGACCCAGTTGTTGGTTTTGAAAACTTTTTCCAGTATAAAATAAAACTAAATATCATCATCAGTTTGTTTCCTCAATTATATATTTGCAACATTTGTTTCCATTTAATATATGTATATTGGCAAGAGTGTGTTTGTATGTGTGTGAGTGTTTGTGCCTACATCATAACATTTTAACTTTTGCCACTACTGCAACACTACAATCAATTCTCAGGATTTGATTTTTTTTAATTTTGGCAAAGCATCGAGTTTCAAAGACCATTGCCTCTACCATCATCCATCCATTGGTAGCAACACCATTGCATAAATTGAAGAATTTCGGCAATTCTTTATATTTTGGTGTGATTTTTATAGCAAAACTCTTTTTTCGTTGTTATAACAAACAATTGGCTGGCTGGTTGGCCGGTCAACAAACAAACAGGCAAACAAACAGCAAAACCATCAAAAATTTATTTTCTTACTTTTAATGGTACTTAAAACTGTTCCCAAAGAGGAAGGCACAACTTTTTTCGTTGTATTTTCGAAAACAAAATTCAAACTTTTCCCTTCTTCCGCAACATATTGTTGGCGAAATTATGGTGCAGCCATTTTTTTATTTATTTTTTTTTCGCCCAAAAAATATTTTCATTACCGAACAAGTAAAAGCGAACGACGGAATGGTTTGTGGTTGTTAGTTACTGAATTTTTGTTTGGCATTCATTCAGTTCAGTAAGGTTTCTGGTGGTTTTTATTTTATTAACATTTTTTGTTCAAGCAATTAAAAAGCTACAACGAAATTCATGGCGTAAATGGGTAGAGAACAACAATAAAATAAATAAAATTTATTGTCATTTCGCGCAACGAAAGTGTGGCCATGTTAGTTGTTATTTGATAATGTCATTTGCAGGGAATTGATGGCTTACTTAAAGAGAGTGAAAATATTTTTTTCTTAGAAGTATATTGAATTTTTATACTATGTTGTCAGGTTATAGCTTTGTGCAGCCCCAATATTTTGTAACCCCGCGAAATTTTGTCCCAGACCCACCTTCACGTATACCGATCGTCATATATCGACTAGCTGAGTCGATCTAGACATGTGTGTCCGTCCGTCTGTCTGTCCATTATAATTTGTAACCACGATACAGGCCACAGCTATGGAACAATCTTCACGAAATTTTGCATGTAGGATGGGTTTTGGCCAATGAAGGGTATATTGTTATACCCTTCACCACACTGTGGTACAGGGTATTATGTCTATGTGCATATTTGTGTAACAGGCGAAAGGAAACGAGATAGACACATTGTTCCTTTTGAGAATATGCATAGAATCACTTTTTAAGTCGATTTATGCGTGTCCGTCTGTCTGTCTGTCCATGTTAAATTGTAAACAAAGTACAGATCGCGTTTTTCATTCGAATTGGATGCAATTTGACACAGATCATTTATTTGAATCCTATTGAAATTGAAAACAGATTTGGCATATATAGTCGATTTTAGGTAAATGGGGCACCACAGTACCTACATATCATTCGATTTCCACGAAATTTGGTATTGCGTACTGGATTGAGTCTAGAATGATGTGTGCTAAGAAAATCGGTTCAGATTTAGATATAGCTCCCATATATAGTTTCGCCCGATTTTAGGTAAATGGTGCACCAAAGTCCCTGAAAATCATTTGATTTGCACGAATTTTGGCATAGCGTATTGACTTAAGTCTAGAATGACGTGTGCCAAATTTCGTGAAAATCGGTTCAGATTTAGATATATATTTTCGTCCGAGTTTAGGTAAATGGTCTACCAAAGCCCATATATATCTTTCGATTTGCACGAATTTTGGCATAGCGTATTGAATTAAGTCTAGAATGACGTGTGCTACGTGAAAAAGTCAGATTTAGACATATATATATTTTCACCCGATTTTATGTAATTGGTGCACCAAAAGTCTCTGAAAAACATTCGATTTGCACGAAATTTGTCATAGCGTACTGAATTAGGTCTAGAATGACGTGTGCTAAGTTTCGTGAAAATCGGTTCAGATTTAGATATGGCTCCCATATATAGTTTCGACGGTTATATTTTCGTCCGATTTTAAGTAAATTGTGCACTAAAGATCCAAAGCTGGGCCGATTGACACAACGTACTAAAATTAATATAAAATAATATCTTGCAAGTTTGCTTCAAATCGGTTCAGATATATTTATCTTAATTGTACACCAAATAATCAATAGGTGTCTGATTGAGCATACAGAATAGCGTGTGTCAAGTTTGTTTTAAATCGATTTACATAAATCTGTCCCACTGTGCGCAAACGACTCTAAACTTGCCCAAATGAAACGAGATTTAGCACAGGTTCCAGAAAGACATAAAAATCACATATTTAAGTTCGTTCAATGTCATGTCAAAATTCCTTCAAAAAGGCGACGTCTTTTCGGATACATATGTATAATATAACCAAAGTGGTGAAGGGTATCATATAGTCGGCCCAATCCGACTTTACTACTTTCCTTACTGGTTTTTATATGAACTATGGAACTTTTTTTAACATACTTCTAAATGTCCGATTTGGCACAAATATGCACCGTTTTGTTTTATGATTTGTTGCCATTTTTAAGGAAACTTCATAATGCCTCTCTCAAAGAAGCCCTGCTCTCTATTTGCAAAAAAACTCTAGTAGTCGATTATCATAAGCCTCCCTAGATACCAATTTTTATCATTAAAGAAATTTTACAATGCAAGAAAAATATGATAATCGCTTGGTGCCAAGTCCTGACTGTATGGCGGATGAAGTAAAACTTCCCAATCAAGCTCCCGAAGTTTCTTGCGAGTCACTGTAGATGTGTGTGGCCTAGCGTTGTCCTGGTGGAACACGAGACATCTCATGTTGCCCAATTCTGGCCGTTTCTGGTTAATTGTAAATGGTTTAAAACAGGTTTATGGTCGATTTTTTGACTCCTGGGCGATGTTACGATTGCTAGCATGCCGGTCAACTTTGATAATTTCTCCGATTTTATTGACATTGTCGACGACCGGCCTACCTGTGCGAGTTCATCTTTAACATCAAAAATTCCTGAACGGAATCTACGAAACCAAAATTGCATGTAATTGGCTGTTACAGTATCGGAACCATAAACACCATTCACAATTTTAGCCGCTTGGCTTGCATTTTCGCCTTTGGCAAAGAAAAACTGTAAAATGTACCGAAGTTTTCACTGTGTTCACTTCCATTTTTAACACTCTGTAAATTGCAACTGAATGCCCCAAACCAAAAAAGTTTTTTACTGCTAAATGCCACCATTTTAAAGCATAAATCTGAAATTGTTTGATCGATAATTTACGAGAAATCTATCAGTACAGCCATCTGCCTAAAAAATGGATTTATTTTCCCCAAGAGGAGTGGTGGATGATGGATTTTCTTTAATATATACAAGAGGAGTGGTTGACGTTGAAATTAATACCAATTATATTGCCGTATGTACTTGGATGTGGGAGTTACAGATACATATTTACAGGTGCTCACGTATTCAGATATTATTTAGTAACCCATACCACACTGGAGAGCGGAAATGTAACGCTGATCCCTTTGAAATGTTCCGTGAGGTTACAGTTATGGTCAAGGACAACACCTATAGTTTTCGTTGGTGATCGGTGATTTTAGTATGAAGTGAATCGACAACTTAAACTTTTTTCGAGTCGATATATAGACCACAATTATAAGCCTAACATCACAACACAACCCACGGTGAAAGAAATATGGCAATGTAATTAGAAGGATTGAACTGAATACTAGTAATATTTGTTTACCCCTAGTCGGTCAAGAGTGTACAAATATAGCGAAATATTGCCCAAGCTCAGAATATAGAACCACAGAAAGTTAGATTTTCGTGGAAGTTGTGTAGAGTATCATATGGTCGGCCCCGTCCGCCTTTACTGTTCCGCTCTCTGGTTTATATTAAAATAGTTAATTGATTTTTCCCCGCAATGAGGATTGTGCCCACATAGCCGTATTCCACCATAGTATGGGGATATACTGTACTCAAAATTGTCAGTTTATACACTACAAATATTCAGTAATTCCTACATGACATTATCAATATTGGTCATCCTTTAGGTATAGCCCCACATATAACTTTGCCATCTAAATTTGATTATCTTGAGGATTTTATATACATGTTGCAACCTACCATCGCTTACCAAAATCGGCCCATGATTTGGGGTGCTGAAATTAATATTTCGTGTGAATTGCGACTTTCAGCAATCGACTGGTACAAGTGTTGGTATAGGTCCATTTCTTTGTATTCCCATATAGTCCCACATTATTCCTTACATCGGAACAGTCAATAAAACATCGTCAACAGTCAATAAAATGTAATGAATTTAAAATTTATATTTTTGGAGTAATTTAATGTTTCCGGTCGTCATTGAATTAAAAATTAAGTAACTGTCAGTATACCTATGGTGGAGGATATCCAAAGTTCCGCCCGCCGAAGTTAATATTTATCGGTGAAAAATTGAACGACTGTTTATTTAATGATCTTCATTACATATAAAATCCATCGACATTTCGATAGATTTGTTCTACTCTCTAAGAATATTTTTTTCAAAATTCGAGATCCCCATTTTTGGATAAGAAAATAATTACAGTAGTGTTTATTTTATAATCATCATTACATATAAAACCCATCGATATTTCGAAAATATATTTTTATACCCTACACAACTATGTTGTCAGGGTATTATTGCTTTGTGCAGCCCCAAAAGTTTGTAACGAAGCGAAATATTGGTCCTAGACCCACCTTTAAGTATGTTCAATCTCGACTAGCTGAGTCGATCTAAAATGTGTGTCCGTCCGTCTGTATATATTTGTAAACACGATACAGGCCACAGTTATGGACCAATCTTCACGGAATTTTTCATGTAGGATGGTTTCTGGCCAATGAAGACCCCTATTGTTTTTGGTAAAGATCAGTTAATATTTAGGGGATGAAAAGGACCAAAAACTTTTTTTGTCGGTTTTTCTGGTCGCTCCAGAGGCCGCAATTATGGCCCAAACACCGCGAATTTTTGCATGGAGAAGGGGATCGGACCAAAAAATAAGCATGGCTGTTTTGATAAAGATCGGTCAATATTTAGCGGGTGAAATTGATACCAATTATATTATGGGGATTACACTTAAATATTTACAGGTGCTTACGTATTCATATACTATTTAGTAACCTATTACCACACTGGAGGGCGGAAATATTGCGCTGATCGCTTTGAAATGTTCCATGAGGTTCCAGTTATGGTCAAGGACAACGCCTAAAATGTTAGGTGATGATCAGATAATAATTTTTCGGATGAAGTGGACCGAAAACTTAATTATTTGTACTTTTCGAGTCGAAAGCCGAACATCACAACACAACCCACTGTGAAGGGAATCTGGACAAGTAATTAGAGGGGCTGTACTGATTATTAGTAACATTTGCTGACCTCTAGCCAGTCAAAAGTGTGCAAATATCGCGAAATATTGCCCAATCTCAGAATATAGAACCACAGAAAGATAGATTTTCATGGAAGTTGTGTAGGGTATCGTATGATCGGCCCCATCCGACTATACTGCTCTGCTCACTGGTTTTTCAACTTGTTTCCTTTCTGTTTTAATAAGACTTTTTCCCAAAATAGAAAAACACCTCATAAACCATTTTTCTTTAATTTAATCTCAAAATATCTCTGTGTGAAGCATTGTAATTATGTACATCGTTGCGTATGTGTTATTTTATAACATATTGAACATTATGCATACGCAATGGCTTCCCCACATACGCACACATACACACACACTCAGACTACATTATGAGTTGTGTGGAAAATGTTAATTTCAATGCAATATTTTTTGAATATGTTGCTGCTCAATATTTCCCGGAAAATGTTTTCATTTTGGAAATATATTAAAAACAACAAAAACAAAATAAAACAGAAACCCAAATACATGCAACTGATGATGAAACCACATTTCCACAGAATATCCATCAAATGTGAATTCAACGTAACAACTTCACACAAAAAGTATTATGATGTTGAGTTAAGTTTGCTAGGTTTTCTTTTTTTGCCTTGCTTTTCCTCAAGAGGAATTTAAGTTAATTTAACAGTAAATTTTATTTAAGGGATAGTAGGAGAGAGCGGAGCAATTGTATTATATATCCCTTGGAGAAATGTATTACGTGTTGGGAAATGTTTAACTTTTTCGGGAGAAATCCGAACCAAAAAAAAAAAAATTGCAAACAAACTGATGAGGAAAAATCAAATGAGACTATGTTTTCCCTGCAAAGTGCAAAACTTTATTTGGTTTCTTTTTTGATTTCTGTTAAAAGAATAAAACATTAATTTTTTGTTTTTCTTGCTTTTCTCTTTTTTTGTTTCCTTCTACTACCTTTAGGTGAAGACAAATGCCTGGAAAAGAATCTGGAAACGACCACCACAACCATTACGGCCCATAGCAATGGCTCGGCCACAGCATCACCCACCAATGGCAGCATGAAAAAAACACCCCTAAATGCCAATGGCAATGGCTATGAGAGCATGGCCTCGGAGCCCTTGAATCCCAACAAGACCAGCACCGTGGATAACGTTGAGGCCCAGGCCAATGAAATAAATTTCAAATTCCCCATTGATGATCGCGTGTGTACCATTGATGAACTGATAGTTGTACCACCGACGGCACCACAATTGCCCAGCACAAAACCACCACAAACGATGATGATGACGATGTCATCTGCAACTGGCAACAACTCCTCCGCCATTGCCTCGGGAGTTGCAATGTCAGCAATGGAATCTTCAAGTTGTAGTAACTTGAATTTAAGATACTTAGCAACACCTCTTAACTGTGGCAGTACCACAGCCCAGGCAGCTGTGGCGGCTGCTGCCACAGTTATACCACCGGGGGCGCCATCAGCTGGTGGGACAGCCACAATGCTTGGTGCACCCTTAACACCAGCACATCATCTCAGCGGCGGAGGCGGCAGCAATACAATGCCACCGGAGGCAATAGTTGTAGTACTGCCGCCACCATCGGCCACAATAATCTCATCCGAGCAACTGCCACAACAGCAACGTCAGCAGCAGCCCCACCACCAACAACAACAGCAGCAACAATTGTTGCATTTAACCACACTTGAACCATTGGTCAGCGTTAACTGACCCCAGAGCATTATGGGTCACTCCAATACAATGCGAAACAACACAACATCACTGATGGCAACGACAACATTGATGCCATCACATTTAAACGAAGATTATCATTCGCAGAAGCTGAAACAGCAACAACAACCACCACACACAACCATCAGCCATACATAGATAATGAGTGAATGAACTACTTTTCCCAATGGGAAGAGATGCTACTACATTTAACTACTCTCTTAGCACTGATCCAGAGTAATAATCATTCCATTCCATTGTACAAAAACAAAATGTAACAGCGTCATCATCGCCATCATCATCATTATTAGTTGGTATGAATGAATGTTTACAACCACTGTAGGTATAATATACACACACACATATATAAAACAATACATTCCAACACATACACAATTATCACCAACATTATCATACACCAATTCAAATAACAATGGAAGAACAAAAGCATATGGTGTATGGCCTGTCCATCACTCCCCCTTTCGTTCGGTTTGTCTGTCGGTCTGCCATACACCAATGCTGTCCATTACTGTACAATACTCGTGAGTGTTCATGAACCGGGGAAAAAATTACAACAAAAATGTCAGTTGGTTGATTTTGTTCGTCCTTTTTTTTTTGGTTTGTCAATATAAAATTTCAAATGAAATACTTGCAAATTAACTAAACTGACCACAAACTATATATTTATATATATACACACACACGATGTATATAATATTTACATATAACAATCAAATAATTGCAATGTAATTATGTTGAATTTAAAATTTTTTGGGTTAAACCAAAAAAAATCGACAAAAATTTCAAGTGAAATTTTAATTTTAGTTTTACGAAAAAAATCGATCGATTTTAAAGAAACCACAAAAAACGAAAATATTTACATTTAAGTTCGATGCAAAATATGACCAACGAAATTCCATGCTATTCGGAAAAAAATTACATTGTGCAACAAAATTTAGGGGATTGGTTTTCTGACCAAGTATCGAGAAAATGTGGAAGGTGTAATAATCCATTTAATGAATTTTAGAACCCTATATAAAATCGTATGCGCGATATTTTTGTAGAGGTCAAAAATATTGTCTTGTCATACATAATTCGAGGTTCAAAAAAAAAAAAAAAAAAAAAACGAAATAGACGCACGCATATTTTACAAAAAGAATTCTCATTCCATTTGACTGAAGATATAGCATCACAAAAATAACCTGCAATAGCCGCAAATAAAAATAGTTTTTTTCAAAGTCACCAACAAACAAGTCATCACATCATAATTTAAAAACGTGACCTGTAACGAATTTATTCTTCTAAGTTCTTAATATCCATCTCTATCCGAGAGAAAATGCATGTTATTCAATTTTTTTCTTCAATTTAACCTATGTGTGAAACATTGCAATTATGTACATGGTTGCGTTTAATATTACAACATATTGAATATTAAGTATACGCAATGGCTTCACCACATACACTGCATTATGACTTGTGTGTAAAATTTTAATTTCAACGAAATATTTTTTGAATATGATGCAAAAGACAAAGAAGATATAGAAGGATATGTTAAAAAAGTTCACATTCGATTCGACTGAAATATGTCATCCCAAAAAAATTAACTGCAATAGCAGGAAATAAAAATATAATGTCCTTTCGACATGAATAGCAGGATCACCATCAAACCTCACGCCATGACTCAAAAACTTGGCCAATGGCGAATTTAACCTTCTGCATTCCTAATATACTCGCCCCGGCTTTTATTCCCATAGCGATTTTCCACCACCCAGATGATTAGCTTCAATTTGTCCACGGAAATGAAATCTGAAGATATTCTATATCAGTCTACTTATTCCTTATTCCAGGTTCTCCCCTATTTGAATATAGTCCACCATAGTATGGATGGTATCTTGAAATTCTGCACCTTTCGAATAAGAATAGCCAATCCTATCAAGTTTATGCTTTTGATGCAAATACGTCTGTCTATTGTTATCACTCCAGGTATAAAAAACTACACTTTTTTGTTTATGATTTTTTTAATACGAAATCTGTTAAAACATTTAACAAGATTTTTTCTAATCTGAAAGATTTTTTTAAATATTCCATACTTTTCAGACAAAACAGATTACGGTGTCAATGTCTTATTGAACACCGTGTCAAAGTCTTATTGAACACCATAAAACCAATTTCATGAATTTCTTATAAGAAAACGATCAACCTTTTTCTAATTTGGACAACTATTATCATGTGCCACTGTCGGGTTTTTGTACATTCAGCCTCATTGCTAAGGAGGCTATATATACACGTTAACACGGCAAACTTAGTTCAATTTCGAAGTTGGGGAATATCGCTTGATATCAAAGCTTCCTACAAAGATCCCGAAGGTTTATAGGTATATTTTACTCATGGTGGAAGGTATACCAGTTCGGCCTTATAAAAAAAAAATTAGGGTCTTATAAAGGCTTCAATTTTGTTACAATATTTTCTTATAGACTTATAAAGAAGAGCATTTTTTGAAACATGTTTTTCATTGACTTAACGTATCATAAATATAAACGTATCATTTTACAGAAAACGTTTTTAGGAATATTTTTTTAGATGTGTACAAAGTCGCAGATTGTTTCTGGGATATAGGCTCTTTTAAAAAACAAAAAAATATTCTCAAAAAATCCAAACCATTTAATGATCGAGGAAACATATTCTTAAAAAAAAAAATCCACTCCTTTTTAAGCCCCCAAGAAAATATTGTTAAAAAATTCAAGCTTTTATAAGACTGTGAACAAATTATTATTAAAAGATTTAAATCAAGAATAAATTAAAAGAAAAAACACCTTGGAAACCTAGTCTTACCCCTAAAAACATATTATTTAAAAACTCTTTGTCTTTATTGACCCCTAAAAATGTTTTTAAAAATCCAAGCATTTATAAGACTCTAAAAATATTCTTTAAAAATCAACGAAAAATCGAGTATCTTCGTACGACACTTTATATATCCTGAAAATTCGCCATTTTCAAGATTTGTGGACTGGTGTTCCACGGTATTAGTATCACGGATTCCCTTGGGGTAGAAAATTATCAATATCATTTCTGGCTGTGGAGTAGCTTCTCTACAACGGCACCTTAAATTTTTGGTATATTGAGAATATTTTTTGTAATTTGAATTTTGAGGTTCCCTTATAAAAAAATTACCAATTATTGTCTTTGGTATCTATTCAAATGTCCTCACAAATTTTGGTATTACGAGAATATTGAGATTTTAGAAAAGTTTTTTCATCAGACTGCCAAATCCCAGTCAAAAAAATCGGTTAAAACACTACAAAATGCTGACAATGGGACGGGAACTTTATATGGGGGCCATTTCAGCCATTTCGACTAGAAAATTCAAGAAAGATCTTCAAAACACCGAAATTTGTGAGGAAACTTCGTATAGGGGCTATTTCAAAACCTGGTTCTAAAATTACAATTTTTTTCAAATTACATACATTTTGGTTGCAAAATGGTTGATACTTTTTAGTATAGATGCGTTCCAACTTCCAAAAACCCAGTATAACAACTTACAGCCCTTTCGATTGGAGAAAGTATCGAAAATTGTGCTGTGCCACATGACTGCACCCGATGAATATTTCGGGGTGTTGGTAATCTCAAAATTAAATAGTTGTGCCGTTTTGTGATGTTAGGTTCAATTTAAACTCTTTATGGAATTTTGGGATCACCTGGTTTCGAAATTTATAAAAAATAAATTGGAATTTCGTTGGCATAATAACTAAAATATTAATTTTTTATTCTTTTTTATATTTAAAAGAAATTATTAATGTTAATTTTATTTTACGATTAAAACAAAACAAGTATTTAATTTAGTTTTCCGTAATGTTATACAAAAATTAATTAAAATACTTTTAACAAATTTTACTTACACTAATTGGCAATGAAAATGAAAAAACAAAACCCTCACAAACACATTTCTCAATGTGATATTTTGATAGAGAACAAAAAAAACACAAATATAAAATCACAATGAAAAAATAAATTTTGTAAATATTTTCCAAAAAAAATTAAAAAAACCCAAAACGAATTGCTGTAAATCTCTTTCTTCTGACTAATATAAATAATTTCGAAAACAAAAAACGCAAACAAAAACAAATCTAACGTGTTCATTATACAAATAAAATTTGTATAAGCAAGAAGATATAAAAATTTATTGTTTCAAAATCTTAAGAAAAAAACTGTTCAAAAATTATATATATAGAAAATAATATCATATTAATTTCTTTTCTACTGTTCAAAAACCACATAAAAATACTTATATTTAAATATATTGTAATTAAGATATTGTAATACACTTTTAGTTAAGTATAGGTTAATCGATATTAAAGTTGAACAGGATGTGCATAAATGATAATGAATGAAAATGAGATTTGTGATAAAGAAAATTCTTAAAAAAAAAAAAAATCAAAAACCAAAATAAAAAAACCATTAAGCGGAGCAGTATAGTCGAACGGGCCGACCATGCGATACCCTACAAAACTTCCACGGAAGTCTAACTTTCTGTGGTTCTATGTTCTGAGCTTGGGCAATATTTCGCAATATTTGCACACTCTTGACCAAATAGAGGTAAACAGCACACCTTTCTTACATTGACATATATTCAGAATATTACTAATGTTCAGTTCGGTCCGTCTAATTACTTGTCCGCATTTCATTCACCGATGTTGTGTTGTGATATTCGGCTTATAATTGTGACATATAGATCGACTCAAAAAAAAAAACACAAAAAATTAAATTTTCGGTCAACTTCATCCCAATATTATTATATGATCATCACTGAAAATTATAGGCGTTGTCCTTGACCATACCTGGAACCTCATGGAACATTTCAAAAGGATCAGCGCTATACTTCCGCTCTGTAGTGTGGTAATGGTGCAAACATTTAAGTGTAACTCCCACATTCGAGTACATACGACAATATAATTGGTATCAATTTAAAGAACAACCACACTTCTTGGATATACTATCAAGTT